TATATATATATATATATATATATATATATATATATATATATATATATATATATATATATATATATATATATATATATATATACACACATATATATATGCATATATATTAAGGTGGTTCATAAAAAACTTTTTTTTGAAAATGTCCTCTCCAAAGTTGTTAATTTACTTCAATGGAGTACACATAGCTATATTCCAAATTTCATCAAAATCGGTTCATATCTCGACCCTCCTCCATTGATTTGAAATTTCTGACTTTGCGCAACAAGAAAATGGCCCAAAAAACTACAATATTTTTCACTTTATTACAAATTGAACAATATTAAGCAGGAATTTCAATGTTTTTAAAGAACAATAAAAGATGCAGAATTAAAAGTTATACAACATAGTCTATAGTAAAATAAATAAATATATTCTATTAAGGGAAAATATGACTGTTTTAGGATAAAATCTTTCTTTGATTCCTGATTTGGATATTTGGCGCGATTCACCATTTATGTTTTTGTTGTTGAATCCCGTTGTTTCGTACCTACTACCTTCTGACTGGCTTTTGTAACCTCCTTCACAGCTCGTTCAACCATTTGGGTGTGACATTTAAATTTTAGTACAATGAGAGGTTCTGCTACCAGGGCCAACAATTCGCTATTTGACATGTTCCTAATCAAAGGAGGTTTAATCATGTCAGTTTCACTCCACTTAATCATTAGCTGCCACTTTGATGCTTTAAAATTCAGTTCAGGCACCCGGAAAAGACGTACAGAAGAAGCTTGATCTTAGTGATTAGCTCTGGCTTCAATGATCTTTTGAACAGCATCTATGCGGTCTGGCTTATGGAATGTTGCTAGTTCAGCTAGCAAAATGTTTTCTGGATGGGCATAAAAAGTGTTCCATTGAATGCAGCGCTGTACGATCTTCTTTGCAGCTCCATCTTCTATTAACTTAGATCTTTGCATTAGGAAAAACAGATTTTTAGGACCATTAATCCCAAGCTCATAATACTTCACAACCACATAAACCACATTGGAGCATAAACATTCACAATATATACAGTCAAAATGTTTAAAACTGTTGATGGTTTTGTTGTACTCGCATACAGCCTACAGATAGGGCATGCGGTCGTAAGCCATCTAGTGTGGCTACATGGTCCAATCTTCAGACGCACTAAATCCTTATTGAGTTGCCCGGAAATTAGCGCTGATGTAATTCTCCGCATGTATTTCTGGTCTGTCGACAAATCCTTCCAAACTTCGTTGGGCATTTTAGATAGAGGTTGAGAATGACCAAAGCGTTTGTATTTGATGACAGGATAATTCAAGACATCTGGTAGTAACTTGCCAATAGGCCCAGCAAAAGTGTTTGCATCTGCAGTTAGACCATCCAACTCAATGATGATGTACTTTAATGGCAACTCATTTGCGTGCAGAAGGCAAACATTTCATTGTAAAGCACGCCCAATGCTTACTTCAATCAAATGGTTTATTCCCCCTTCTGCTCCAACATTTGTGTTAGTGCCATCACATGTTAAGGCTTCAATTTGATCAATTATGTTTTTTTCTTGTAGAAACTGGACGAGAGATTTAGAAACAGTTATAGCTTTACCATCAGTTGGTGATACATGACCCAGGAACTTTCCATCAGTGAGTTATACTATTGTAACATGTTCCTCAGTTTTCCTTGATTGATATTGTTTCTCACCTACTCTCTCTTCTCTACTCTTCTCTTCTCTACTCTTGCGTTAAAGTCACATCTTTTCAACCATCGTAACCAATTCCACAATACACCACTAATGGTACTGCATCATCTTCTTCTAATATTACATTAACAGCTCTGCGAACTTTTGATTTGTCAACTATTTCGAGAATATTGTATATACGAAGAGTGGCATTAACAATCAAAGCAGTTGCTCTATCAGAGATCAAATTACGCATCTTTGCTTCTGCTATCTGTCGAAGATCTCTTCCTCGATTCTTCAAAGCAACTTCTACAACACTAGCAGCACTTGAGACTGAGGTTGATGTACTTGGTTTATTCTGGAAGTCCAAATCTGTATTAATATTTGGACTTGTAGTTCAAACAAACCAGAAATTTCTTTGCGAAACTCAACTTTCTTATTTTTAAAGTAGTCTGAGAGATCATTGGGATTTGGATACTTTGGATTCTTATACCTTCTGGCAGTTGGTATTCGGATTATACTTTGACGCTTTTCATAAACTTTGAAAACATGGTCCTTAATCGTGTCTTTTCTAACTGTTGGTAAGGATGCACGTTTATAAATACATGCAGTTCTGCCGGCTGACCAAAGGCAAGCTGATCTGTTGCCATTCGGGTAGATATTTTTGTTAAACCTGTCATTATAATCTGTGAAAAAGAAAGAATATTGATAATAAGAATATTAAAATGCATTCTATGAAAAAAAACGTGGATCAAATAAAGATGTTAGTCATGAAATTATATCCTGCATTTTTTATTGTTTTTTAAAAACATTGAAATTCCTGCTTAATATTGTTCAATTTGTAATAAAGTGAAAAATATTGTAGTTTTTTGGGCCATTTTCCTGTTGCGCGAAGTCAGAAATTTCAAATCAATGGAGGAGGGTCAAGATATGAACCAATTTTGATGAAATTTGGAATATAGCTATGTGTACTCCATTGAAGTAAATTAATAACTTTCGAGCGGACATTTTTCAAAAAAAAAGTTTTTTTATGAACCGCCTTAATATATATACATACATACATATATATATATATATATATATATATATATATATATATATATATATATATATATATTATATATATATATTATATATATATATATATATATATATATATTATATATATATATATATATATATATAATATATATATATATATATATATATATATATATTTAATATATATATATAATATATATATATATGTATGTATGTATTATATATATATATATATATATATATATATATATATATATATATATATATATATATATATATATATATATATATATATGTATATATAGTCTTGTGTGGTAGTTGAAAAGGTTTTCTCATAAACTGCAGTTTTAAAGAGAGTACAGAATAAACCAGACCAGAAATAGTTTAAAAACTTGAATTTTTTTTTTATATCAAAATGATAGACTGCCTGCCCTAGACAAACCCTTAGTTGATGTAGCAGCACTCCCTTACGAGTCAGGATATTTCTCAGTCGATGTAGCAGCATTCCATTGCAAGTCAGGTTATAAGATAATCGATGAAGCAACACTCCGTTACGAGTTAGGCTATAAGTTAGTCGATGTAGCAATAATTCCTTGTAGCAGCAGGCTATAAGATAGTCAATGTAGCAACACTCCATGCATGTTTTAAAAATATATTTTAATAAAGCAACAACAAAAACTTCATTAATTAAAAAAAACTTTCTAGTCATTATTATTGTGGTTGTTTTCAAAAACAATAAAATTTAATGTACTTCTAAATTAATTTAATTGCTTTGACATTTCAACAACAATAATATGTATCCTTATTGTTGAGGTAGCAAGTCTCTTTCGACTACAATATATATATATATATATTATATACATATATATATATATATATATATATATATATATATATATATATATATATATATATATATATATTATATATATATATATATATATATATATATATATATAATATATATATATATATATATATATTATATATATATATATATATATATATCATTGTATACCAAGCAACCATCACTTCAGATAACCCTTCAATAAAAAAATCATACATTGGTATTCGTGAAATATTTTTTAATCTAAGATATGCTAATCATTTGAAATCATTTAATACCCCCAAATATAAAAATGATACAGAGCGTCAAAGGAGGTTTTGAACTTATAAGATAATAATAAAAATCATGTGGTTAGTTGGAAAGTAATTCGAAGATGTGAAGCGTATAACCTGACAACAAAATTGTGCAAATTATGCCTTAATGAAAAATATGAAATTATTTTACTCTCCTCACGTCATATACGTAAATGGAGGGAACAAACTTGAAAAATTCAGTCAATAATATTCTAATTTTGTTTTAAATTTAAATTTAATTTGATTTATTTAATGGATTATGTATATTGCAGTAAAGTTATATTTGAGTTAAAAACTCAAATATAACTTTATAAATATTATAATATATTATGGCTCTAATGCCAGTTATATTGGAGAAACTTCTAAACGTTTAACAACTAGAGTTAATGTGCACCTTTGGACTGTTACAAAATCTTTTATATACAAACTTTTAGTTACATCAGTTATAAATATAGCTACTTCAAACCTCCATTCATTTGAACTATTCTAGTTGGGCTAAAATAAAAATTAAAAATAAATGTTAATAATTATTGCAAAGATTTTCTAATAAAATTAGTATTTACTACTAATAAAATACAAAGCAATTTTCAGTTTAAATGATTAAATTCCCAAGCTACTTAAATCTTAAGTTGTTTACAAATTTTCTTGTGTTGGCTCTAATGCCAGTTATATTGGAGAAACTTCTAGGCGTTTAACAACTAGAGTTAATGTGCACCTTTGGACTGTTACAAAATCTTTTATATACAAACTTTTAGTTACATCAGTTAATAGTAAAAACTTGTCTAATTGTTATTCATTTGAAATTTTTAACTTTTGAGATTTTGCTTTTACTTTTGAGATAAATTTTTTTTTTTGAAAACTTACTATTATAAAATTAAGCTATATAATTTAGATTTATTGGTTATTTACTGAGTCATTTTGTAGTTATTTTATTGGTTTTTAATGTATATTTTAGTCTCTGTAATGTCTTCTGTTTTTTAATATTTATTCCAGAGTTTTTTTTATTGTAAAAAAAATCTTTTGAAAATGTAATACAAAATTATGAAACATGTCAAGATATAAAAATAATGTATTATTTTTAAAATTATTTATTTTATACAACAATCAACAAAACTGTTTTCAATATTAAATGTTTGTTTTTTTATTTTAGGGATCTCTTTATGATAAATTATCAAAAGGCCCTCTAGATGAGAATATGGCATCTAAGCTATCTTATCAAATTCTTGAAGGCTTGGATTACTTACACAGTAAAAACATTATACACAGGGATATTAAAAGTAATTTTTTTTATAATGGCAATTATTTGATTTATTATTTATTAT